GGGAAAAGTGTGGAAGAAAAAGGTGCACAAGCAGCAGGGATGACCGCAGCCTGGAGAGATTGTCAGGAAAAGGCCATTCAAAAGTGTTGGGGACTTTCACAAGGAGTGGACTGAGGCTGGAGTCAGTGCATCAAGGGCCACCACACACAGCCGGATCCTGGACATGGGCTTCAAATGTCGTATTCCTCTTGTCAAGCCGCTCCTGAACAACAAACGTCAGAAACGTCTTACCTGGGCTAAAGAAAAACAGACCTGGTCTGTTGCTCAGTGGTCCAAAGTCCTCTTTTCTGATGAAAGCAATTTTTGCATCTCATTTGGAAACCAAGGAAGAAGAGTATGGAGGAAGAATGGAGAGGCACACACTGCAAGATGCTTGAAGTCCAGTGTGAAGTTTCCACAGTCTGTGTTGATTTGGGGAGCCATGTCATCTGCTGGTGTTGGTCCACTGTGCCTCATTAAGTCCAGGGTCAACGCAGCCGTCTACCAGGAGATTTTGGAGCACTTCATGCTTCCTTCCGCAGACCAGCTTTATGGGGATGCTGACTTCATTTTCCAGCAGGACTTGGCATCTGCCCACACTGCCAAAAGCACCAAAACCTGGTTCAATGACCGTGGGATTACTGTGCTTGATTGGCCAGCAAACTTCCCTGACCTGAACCCCATAGAGAATCTATGGGGCATTGCCAAGAGAAAGATGAGAGACATGAGACCGAACAATGCAGAAGAGCTGAAGGCCGCTATTGAAGCATCCTGGTCTTCCATAACACCTCAGCAGTGCCACAGGCTGATGGCTTCCATGCCACGCCGCATTGAGGCAGTAATAGCTGCAAAAGGGGCCCAAACCATGTACTGAGTACATATGCATGCTTATACTTTTCAGAGGTCCGATATTGTTCTATATACAATCCTTGTTTTATTCGTTGCATGTAATATTCTAATTTTCTGAGATTGTGGATTTAGGGTTTTCATAAGCTGTAAGCCATAATCATCACAATTATGACAAATCATGGTTTGAACTATCTTGCTTGGCATGTAATGAGTCTATCTCATATATTAGCTTCACCTTTAAAGTTGCATTACTGAAATAAATGAACTTTTGCACGATATTCTAATTTTTCGAGTTCCACCTGTACTTAAGAAAAAAAAAAAAAACTCCTCTACAGCACTGATACCGAATATATGTTTTTACATACTAGGTGCTCACATTTTTATGTATGTGCATACGCAAGGGAAAAGGTCCTATCATTTTTTTCATTTCATTAAATGTTAACATTTTGCTTGTTTTTTTTTTTTTTTCTGAAGAATTATTGTGGTCCTGGGCTTCAAGGAGAACACAGAAAACCAGGGGCCAGCATATGGTACAAGTCATTGGCAATGAAAGGGATAAAGTAGAAATAAATCCTAAATGGATGACGTTTAGCTTGGTAAAGTACTGTGCTTCAACAAATTGGCATGTTTTTTTTTTCCCCCTAAAAGACTATTTTCACCATTTTTCCATGATGATCTCTAGCCAGTTTCAGCCTAACATGCATTTGCTTCAAAACTGGCCTAACACCAATTTATCAGCATCATCTTCCTGAGTAATAACAGTTGATTGTGCCTGTAGACGGTGTGTCAAGATGCCTGCCGTCTCCACCAGAGGTGCACATGACAGGGTGACAACAGAAATGCAATACATGGTTACCCCCTATAAGGAAGTGCCTGATCAATGGACTTCAAGGTAAGATCACCAGGTAATACTTTCATGAAAAATTTTACACTTTTTTTTTTTTTTTCGCATTTGACCAGAGGGTTGAACGAAAAAAAAAAACCTGACAGATAACCGCATCAATGCAAATGAAGTTGATGTAGAGGATCTCTCCCGCTGAAATATTGTATTCTGACAGGGGGGACTGCCCCACCAGAATACACTGATTGAATGCTGGTTGCCTAAGTGCCTAGACAGGAATTAAGGAAGCGGGAGCTGGGGTACCTGTCAAAAAAAGCTTTAGCTTCCTCTTTTATAGCTGTGGTGTTGTGTACAAGTGATTCCAACAAGGTCATTTTAATACTCATCATTAGAATGATATATATTAAAAGGATTGCATTCACCTGTCTAAACACAACTCTAAAAAGACAAGTTTTGCTTCAAGCAGAAATAACTATCCAGAAGCAATATCTTACATGGCTATCATCATGTAATCTAACAGGCAAGAAAAAATAATTTACCTGTGAGGGAGGAGGCATTGGATGAGAATCATCATACATTAACCTCTCAGCAGTCCTTTTCATTTTATCATCCTGACAAAAATGAATATTGCAAAATCAAATATTCATACAGAATTTGACTGAGGCACAAGATCACAATTTTATGCACAAGCTGGTTTGAAGGAATGATTAAAAAAAAACACAACTTTTTATACAATATAGTAGTGCTCAACAATACCTTAAAGTGGTTGTAAAGGAAGACAGAGAGAGAAAGACAAAGAAAGAGGGGGAGAGAGGGGGAGGGGGGGGAAGGAGAGTGAGTGAGAGAGGGGAGAGGAGGGGAGAGAAGGAGAGAGAGAGAGAGGAGAAGGAGAGAGAGAGAGGAGAGAGAGAGAAGGAGACGGAGGAGAGAGAGAGATGGGGAAGGAGAGAGAGAGATAGGGGGGAAGGAGAGATGGGGAAGGAGAGATAGGGGGGAAGGAGAGATGGGGAAGGAGAGATAGGGGGGAAGGAGAGATGGGGAAGGAGAGAGAGGGAGAAGGGGGGAGGGAGAGAGAGCGCGAAGGAGGGGAGGGAGAGAGCGCGAAGGAGAGAGAGAGCGCGAAGGAGAGCGCGAAGGGGAGGGAGAGAGAGCGCGCGAAGGAGAGAGAGAGAGGGAGCGAAGGAGGAGGGCGAGCGAGCGCGAAGGGGAGAGAGAGAGCGCGAAGGGGAGAGAGAGAGCGCGAAGGGGAGAGAGAGAGCGCGAAGGGGAGAGAGAGAGCGCGAAGGGGAGAGAGAGAGAGAGAGCGCGAGGGGGAGGGAGAGAGAGCGCGAGGGGGGGGAGAGAGAGCGCGAGGGGGAGGGAGAGAGAGCGCGCGGGGGAGGGAGAGAGAGCGCGAAGGGGAGGGAGAGAGAGCGCGAAGGGGAGGGAGAGGAGAGAGAGAGAGCGCGCGAAGGGGAGGGAGAGATAGCGCGAAGGGGAGGGGAGAGAGCGCGAGCGAAGGGGAGAGAGAGAGCGCGAGCGAAGGGAGAGAGAGCGCGAAGGGGGAGAGAGAGAGAGCGCGCGAAGGAGAGAGAGAGCGCGCGAAGGAGAGAGAGAGCGCAGGGGGAGAGAGAGAGAGCGCAGGGGGGGAGGAGAGAGAGAGCGCGCAGGGGGGAGAGAGAGAGAGCGCAGGGGGGGAGAGAGAGAAGGGGGGAGAGAGAGAGCGAAGGGGGGGGAGAGAGAGGAAGGGGGGAGAGAGAGCGAAGGGGGGAGAGAGAGCGAAGGGGGGAGAGAGAGCGCGAAGGGGGGGAGGAGAGAGAGCGAAGGGGGGAGAGAGAGCGAAGGGGGGAGAGAGAGCGAGCGAAGGGAGAGAGAGAGCGAGCGAAGGGGAGGGGAGAGAGAGCGCGAGCGAAGGAGAGAGAGAGCGCAGAGGGGAGAGAGAGAGAGAGAGCGAAGGGGGGGGAGAGAGCGAAGGGGGGAGAGAGAGCGAAGGGGGGAGAGAGAGCGAAGGGGGGAGAGAGAGCGAAGGGGGGAGGAGAGAGCGAAGGGGGGAGAGAGAGCGAGCGAAGGGGAGAGAGAGAGAGAGAGAGCGAAGGGGGAGAAGAGAGGAAGGAAGGGGGGGAGAGAGAGAAGGGGGGAGAGAGAGGAGGAAGGGAGGAGAGGGAGAGAGCGAGCGAAGGGGGGAGAGAGAGCGAGCGAAGGGGGGAGAGAGAGCGAGCGAAGGGGGAGAGGAGAGAGCGAGCGAAGGGGGGAGAGAGAGCGAGCGAAGGAGAGAGAGAGCGCGAGCGAAGGAGAGAGAGAGCGCGAGCGAAGGAGAGAGAGAGCGCGAGCGAAGGAGAGAGAGAGCGAGCGAAGGAGAGAGAGAGAGAGAGAGCGAAGGAGAGAGAGAGAGAGCGAAGGAGAGAGAGAGAGAGAGCGAGAGCGAGGAGAGAGAGAGAGAGCGAAGGAGAGAGAGAGGGAGCGAAGGAGAGAGAGAGAGAGCGAAGGAGAGAGAGAGAGAGCGAAGGAGAGAGAGAGAGAGCGAAGGAGAGAGAGAGAGAGCGAAGGAGGGAGAGAGAGCGAAGGAGGGAGAGAGAGCGAAGGAGGGAGAGAGAGCGAAGGAGGGAGAGAGAGCGAAGGAGGGAGAGAGAGCGAAGGAGGGAGAGAGAGCGAAGGAGGGGGAGAGAGAGCGAAGGAGGGAGAGAGAGAGCGAAGGGGAGAGAGAGCGAAGGGGAGAGAGAGCGAAGGGGAGAGAGAGAGAAAAGGAGAGAGAGAATGAGAGAGAGGAGAGAGAGGGAGGAGGGGGAGAGAGAGAGGGGGGAGGGAGGGGGGAGAGGGGAGAGAGGGGGGAGGGGAGGGGGAGGAGAGAGAGGGGGGGAGGGAGAGGGGGGGGGGGAGAGGAGAGAGGGGGGGAGGGAGGGAGGGAGAGAGAGAGAGAGAGAAGGAGAGAGAGAGAGAAGGAGAGAGAGATAGAGAAGGAGAGGGACCCACTGTGCACATATCATATTAGATATGGTGGGCCTGGCTGACATTGTTAAGTTCCAACAACTTTCTTCTGCTATATTTAGCCCTTTACTCAAGAATACAATATTCCTTTGGATGTAGCTGATGAAATATGCTGACAAGGGACAATCACCCTAGTCTGTATGTTAGAAAAGCTCAGACGCACATTTTCTAAGTATGACGTAAATATTGAAGTAATAAACTAATTTTGTAGGTGCTCTTCAAGAACAGTTAATACTTTCCCTCCCGTCCTCTTCATGTTTCAGTGTAAATTATGGTTTAGTATTGTACTCACCAACCATTGTTTAAGATAGCTGGATAGTTGATGTAATCTATGGTGCCACCATTATGGTTTACTAGAAATTAAAAACTAATGTGTTCTTACCTGTAACCAAGGGTGTTCCAGGGCTTCCTTTGTTGTCAGTCTCTTTTCTGGATCAACAACTAACAGATTCTTCACAAGATCTACAGCTTTAAAAATATATTGTCTGTAAGCAGTTTTAGAGTTATACCATGGATTAAATCAATGCCAAAATTAAGAAACCAGTGAATCAAATCTACAAGCCAGAAGGCATGTTTTAAATGACCCTGACATGACCCAATTTGTTTTTCCCTACGTTAACACTGTGTAGAGGCTGGGGTACTTATGATAATCTTCAAATCAACCACCTATGCTTCCCTGTTATTTAAGGGTGAACTTTGAGAGTCTCTATTGCATACTGAAGCTCAATGATGGGTTGGCACAGTGCCAGGAAGAAGAGGGGTTTAACTGCTTGTGGAACACCTCACACAGACATACTGCTGCAGGGCAGCTGCTCTGTGCTGGTTTATCTTCCTTGCAGCACAAGCCGATTAGTGGGTCCTGGCCAATGATTTATGGCCAGGACCCGACGACAGGTGAAGCGGATGACAGGACAGAGCTCTGTGATTGAAAACAGCACAGAGCTCTGTGATTGAAAACAGCACAGAGCTCTGTCATGATAGTGGCAATGTGCCAGTTTTTCTTTCCATTGCAAAGCAGGGAATAAAAACTGGCACATTCCCTAGTACACTCAGCACACAATCAGCACAACACTTAACACATTGTTAGGCACACAGTTAACCCTTTGATTGCCTTTAGATGTTATCCCCTTCCCAGCCAGTGTCATTAATGCAGTGTTAGTGTATATTACTAGTACTGAATAAGTATTAGTGTCACTGGAGAGGTTAGTGGCAATTAGTCAGTTCCCAAAAGTGTCAGATTGAGCACCATACTATCACAGTCCCAGTATAAGTAGTTGATCCCTGCCATTACTAGTATAATAAAATTCCAGTATCTATACCATAGTATGTAGGCGCTATAACTTACACGCAAACCAATCAATATATACTTATTGGGATTTTGAATTTTTTTTTATACCAAAGACATTTTGACAAAAATTTCTGAAGAAATTGTATTTATTTTTTTATTGGATATGTTTTATAGTAGAAAGTAAAAAAATTTTTTTTTTTAAATTTTGGTCTTTTATCGTTTATATCACAAAAAAACAAAGCAAAAAGAAACCCAGTGGTGACCAAGTACCACCAAAGGAAAGCTCTATGTGTACGAAAAAAAAAAGTTTATACAAATTTTGTTTGGGTACAGTGTTACATGATTGCGCAATTACCAGTTAAAATAGCGCAGTGCTGAACTGCACAAAATGGCCTGGTCATGAAGAGGGGAAAATCTTCCGGAGCTCAAGTGGTTAATCTAGACTTGGTCAGAATCTAATTTTCATGTACAGTACGTCCTGCGCCTAGAGTTTAAGGAGGTGCCACAGGAAACAATCTGAATACTTACACGCAGCTACTTGTAGGAAGAACTGCCTGCCCTTAAGAATTGTTTTATCTGACTAAAGGTTTGGGCCAGAGTTAGGCTTAGTGTAGAGAAGCCAGGGAATATAAAGCTCAAGGTATCTCAGCAGATAAGGTTTCAAATAGCTAGGCGCCAGCTGTAACATTCGGGCAGTTTTGTGACCAAGTTGAGACTTTAAATTCTGACATTTGAAAATAGATTGAGCATATGAGATAAACAGCTAGCACATTGGTATACTCATTCATATTCATACCTGCATCTGATACATTATTCCAAGCACCAGAAATAAATGTGTAATGTCCTCCTGTGATCTGATCCTTAAGAGGCATTTTATTATTTTTCTCAGAAAATGGTGGGTATCCACCAAGGCTGCAATACAAAGACATACCTGTGAACATACATTACAACTATCATTACTCATTATTATATAAAATAGAAAAAAAATGTATTGAAAATGCATTAAAAAATATTTAATTCCATCTCATTAGTTTCTAATTTATTTATTCTCCAATAATTCAAGCCCCCATTCTTTTAAACAAGCCCCAACATACTTACCATACAAAAAGAATAACTCCTAAACTCCAGAAATCCACTGCACTACTGTATCCAGCTGTGCCAGCTGTGTTCAGCACCTCAGGAGCCAAGTAAGTAGGGGTTCCACATAATGTCTTCATCAACAAGGTTTCTCCAAGAATTTTGGACTGGCCAAAGTCTGTGATCTGTAGAATTGCAGCAACGCACACTATAACAGGACATTTATTTCAACCTTAACTCTAAGCAGATATAGAGGACACAAGTCAATGCAGCTCTGCATTCATGTATATATTAAATGTAATTGTTTAAATGCAAGAAGTATCTGCATAGTATTGGTCTCTTGCTATCTCTGTACAGCAAGGCTGGAGAATGAAAGAAAGAAGCAGTACAAGCAGCCAATCATTTCTTTTCCTGACAAGAAGCATGCTGATTGGAAAAGAAAGCAGAGTGACAGAGAGATGAACTCCTCACTTTGTTGCTTCTCCTTCACTGTCGAGCCGTAGGCTAGTATGGGTACAGTTTGACTTGGGCTCAGAGAAAAGTGGGCTAAATCATGCTGGCCATCAGACTGAGGACAATGGTTTTGCTTTTTTTAAAGGGCTATTCATGTTTAGTTCTGACTGGAGATCTGCTTTAAATATGATCTATAATGATCCCAATAAAACACTGTTTAATAAACCACATCCTATTTGAACTCAATACCAGAATTGCTAGTGCAATTCTCTTGGTCCAGAGTTTCATTGCATTTCCTAAATAGCATTGCTTCTATGGAGCAGCAATGTTTGTGTGAGAAAAAAAAAAAAAGCAGTATTTTTGAATACCTCAGTCATAAAAGGGTTCAAAATCTCCAAGACTTCAGGCACAAGCACACACCACTATCTGTGAAGTAACAAGACTGCTGGCAGGATGCAGTCGCATGACCAGAACACCATGTAGTGGATTGTACCAGGCTATGAAAGCATTAAACAAAAGGAGTTTTGTATTCACTCTAAAATCCTATTTTTGGAGTCCACTAAAGCATACAGGAAGTCTTAAAACTTTGGGTTACACTGCCAACTAGAGAAAGATTGGACACTGACAAACAAATATGCTGTAAGCTGGTCCAGGGTATATATCCTCCTGCCATTCTACTACCAACATGCCTCAATTTGTAGCACTGCAGTCCCAAGTGCGTGATCATAAACACAGGGCCTGTATGCCTCAATAATGGACTCCTAGAAAAAGGATTTACGGTGAGAACCGGTTTCCTTTCTGTCCATTAGCGGGTGTGACATGGGGTAGTTAGATCTCAGGGTAGATGCGTTATTTCAGTGAGTCCACTGCAGACAGGATGTATCTTCAAGGGCTTAGTAGCCCACTTTTATTTAAAAGAAAGCAAAAGTTCACAAACGAATGATTTTCCACGTGGGGAAACCTCTCCAACTTGAACAGAAATCCACATATTGGAAAATGCAGAGCCACCTAGCCCATAAGCTCACTCAGCTTCACTTGCAGTACCTCTCTCCTAGATACTTGTCTCTCTAGCCTTTAGACACAGCACCCTGCTGTAAGGCCCACACTGGCCTATGGATGTGGGTTCTCCTGACACCCTGACAGGAGCCGACCTAACTCCTGGAACGGAGACCTCTGTCTCTTGGCTCCTGGCCGGGTCCTCTGGCCCTTCAATGAGACCTTCTGCCTCCCCCACTGGGAGTGGTCTCCAACTGGGAGCACCGAGCGATTCTCAGGCCTGAGTATATAATGACACCTCACAGCTGTGTACTCCAGACTACAGATGTCTAGCAAAACCCAGACACAGGATTGAATGTTCTGACCCAGAGCTGCAAAATCCAGAGAAAGTCTATTCCACAGCTTTCTCTGCCTAGAAATACTAGCCTGGAATGTTGCACTGACTCTAAATAAGAATCACATGTCACATTTTCCTATCTTTTCACAGTGACAGGGTCTCGACCTGTCACAGGGGCCACAGGAATTCAAAGGGATAAGTAATTATTTTTTAATAAAACATGTTATACTTACCTGCTCTATGTAATGGTTCTGCACAGAGCAGCCATCCTTCCTCGAAGGTCCCCCGCTGGTGCTCCTGGCTCCTCCCCACTAGATAGTGCCTCCATAGCAAGTCCAGTGACACACAGAGTGGCTTCCGCCTACACTCTCTTGTCACTATTTGCTCTCGTGCACATCGCTGGATCAAGATCAGGCTCAGGTAAGTATAAGGGATGGGGAGGGAAGCTGCTCAAAGAAGGTTTTTTACCTTAATGCATAAAATGTAATAAGGTAAAAAACAAACAAACCAAAACATTTACCTACAGAACCACTTTAGGTCTCCGGGACAATCCAAAGCCTTTCAACTGAAGGGTGGGCAACAAAGAAAGCAAATCCTAACAAGCTCACTGTAAAGAAAAGGAACTTGGGACTACCTGAAGCTGAAAGAATTGTCTGAAGGACCTTATACCCGAAGCTAGTATCAAATAAGACAGAAAATGCCCACCTGATAAAAATTGGAGAATATTTTAAGAGAAGACCAGGTTGCAGCCTTGCAAATCTCAGAAACAGTTACACAATACCAAAAAGTTTAAAATCTTCTCACAGCCCTAATGTAGTGAGCCTTAACAAGAAAGGGGGGAACCCATCCTTAAGCTGGCCTTACATGGACCGAAATTTGGCCAGTTAAAATTTTGATCCAAGTACGGGCAGGCTGGTTGTATATTATCAATCAACCTGTGTGCAACTAGCCTGTTGGAAAGTGTTCTCTTGACCAGCGCCACAGGCTGATCAATGTATTTTGATGAAGGGGGGGAGAGTCTTTTCACCATCAGAATGCAATAGCTCAGTGAGAGATCAAATGTGTGGATGGGGGAATAGAGTAATTTTCTTTTTCATTTAACCCACTGGTTGAACGAAAAAAAGCAAACAAAAAAACCCCAAAAAAAAAAACAATTACTCATGAATAGCCAGCCTTAAGTCCATAAAAGCCTGAACGATGATCTGTCTGCCTTCTAGAGATGGTGAAATGAGAATCCAGGGCATCTTTCCAGGGCCCATCCTGGATAACAAAGAGAATTAGTCTTTTTGAAAGACACTGTGGCTAAGAGATAAACTTGCACAGCAGACAATTTGGGAGACATTGGGGTTGATTTGCTAAAAGCAAATAGTCTGTGCACTGCAAGTGGACTTGCAAGTGCAGTTGCTCTAGATCCGAGGGGAAGCTCTGAAATGGGGGGAAGCTCTGCTGCTTCTACCATATAATCATGTGCAAGAAAAAAATGCTGTTTTTTTATTTTCCTTGCATGTGATTGAGTATTCTTTGCAAAGTGAAGCTTTACCTCTCTTAGATTGTAAGCTCCAAGGAGCAGGGCCCTCCTAACCCTCTTGTATTGAACTGTATTATTGCTGTATTGTTTCCCTTTATATTTTAAAGTGCTGAGCAAACTGCTGGCGCTATATAAATCCTGTATAATAATAATTTACTAAGCTATGGAGCAACTGCACTTGCAGTGCACAGTATATATTTGCCTTTAGTAAATCAACTCCACTATCTTTTGATGAATTGGAGCTGGATAAAAGGGACAAGACAACAACACCCTGGTTAAGGTGAAAGGCAGAGGGTACCTTGGACAGGAAGGAAGTCCTGGGCCTCAACATCATCTTGTCCCTATTCAACACCAAAGCAATTTCTTTGCAAGCCTGCCAGTTCAGACAGTCACCTTGTAGAGGTGATAGTTACAAGGAAAGCAACCTTATGGGTGAAAAAAGAGCGAGTTCAGTTGGTGGCTTCTGAAGTGGTAAAAGAGCAATATTTACATTCCACAGAGTCAAATGGGAGTGGATGAGAGCAAACACATGGCAGACTTCTTGCACAAACAATAAAATACCAGCAGTGTCTGAAACACAATGAAAAGAACAGAGACCTTTAATGGTGCCAAGAGCCAAACCTTCATCCAGACCCTACTGCAGGAAGGAGAGGAGTCATACCATGCAGAAGATACCTAGGTGGATGCCCCTGGGATACACCACGTGAAGTGTGCCTTTCAAATTCCATAATAAACATTGTGGAAAGTGGACTGCCTAGTTTTGAGCATCGTAGGAATTACAAACTCAAAAAATTCCCCTCTCTCTTAGAACCTGGACTTCAACAGGCATGTCATTAACCTTTTCGCTAAGGAGAGCTTATGACACAACTTCCGCTGACATCACTTCTGGGATTTGGAACACATGCTGGTATGCGGCGGCCATCTTAATTTCCATTCATATTAATACAAAGCGGATTACACCTAGTGCCAGGAAAGGCACTTTTTTTAGAGTGGCATTTCTACTGTTTGACCCCATATTAAAGTTTTATAGTTTTACACTATGAGATGTCTGGTTTTGTTTTGATTTATGCTGAAAATATGAAATACTGCCTGTGGAGGAGAAGAGTTGCCGATCTAGTGGAAAATTTTTGGTTACTACCAGCAACCACGTTTATAAGGGCGAAGGAATATAAGCCATCAGGACTGGATTTCAAACTGGGATAGTCCCAAAAAGTGAGTGTGACTTACCTAGAGATAGGTGGTTTACATCTACGTGGGGCACCAGTGTGAACACAGTGAAGCACTTGTCATTTCAGTATGGAGTATCACCGTTAAAGATACAGCACCGTTGCACCAATTATTCACATGTTGGTACTGAATATTAATATTGTATTTGTATTTTGCTCAGTGTTATCACTTTAAAGATTGCACAGTTTATTTTGTCTATTTGTGACCTTAGTGCGGTCCATTTTTTCAAATATATAAAATTTTGTGTGTAGAAATTCACATTTAGGACTGCTGCTACATAGGTATCTTATATATAGTTAAATTCCTTCACATATATATGTCAATTAATTTTTTTCCTAAGCGCAACAGCACCCCTTTTTTCTTTCAAACACCTTTAACAAAGGTCCTGGAACACCCCTGGCGGTAAAGGCCTGGACCTCTCCCAGGTCTAGCGTGGGCTGGTTAGGGAAATCTGCCTTCCAATTGTCTGTGCACTATCAAGTCTGTGACATGAAGCTCTGTCCAAAACAGGAGCATCTCTAGCTTTCTTCCTGCAGCAAGATTTCTGGGTCCTTCCCGATGACTGATGTATGCCACTAACCACAAAAATAGTAAGCGCTAAACAATCCCTAATTCGCACACAGTGGACATATAATAATAAATGAAAACCATATCTCATAAATCAAATATATCCGTGACATAAAAAAATATATCAATAGAAAAAAACAAAATAAAACTTTGCTATCCCCCTAAATTATTTCTTAAAATCAGGAGAATAAAAAATAGAAAATCCATGATAATAAAAATAAGCAGTGATGAAACAAAATATATATAAAAAACTGTGTTAATTTCTCTTATATAAATATATAATATATATATATATATGTGAAATACCTAACATAAGTGACACCAACAGGGCTTTGTAGTTAATCTCAATCAACATACTTGATTGTTGTGAAAACCCATATATTAAACTATTACATTGTCCACTAAAACTTGTGATGTTTAAATATTATAAATGAACAAACACAGTCCATGCAGTAAGGTGAAAACGACACTCAGTGTTCTTCACTTCTAGTGCTTGCATGAAAAAGAAAGGGCTGAAAATCCTCCAATGGCAGCAATGCCTGCTCACCTCCCCACAACCCGCAAAGGGCCACAACTATATCTCTCCTCCAGTAATTTTTGCTTCCAAGGGAATCACAGGACCTTTCCACCTCCTCTCAAACGTCATATAGGAATCCAAACAAGCTTCCCATAGTGGCAAATACCATTTATTCAGACACTCTATAGCAAAAAGTTTCCACCACATGCGTATTGTTAGTAAAATGCAATCATCAAGAAGATTTTTTTTTTTTTAAATGGAGGTGCTGTGCAAAGCCCTCCTGTATAAAGTGTTTGTTTGCTGCCTTGCTGAATAAAAGCAAAGGAAAAAGCTTGCTTGGATTTTTCCAAGGTGTTCCTGTCTCATGCAGGGTTTACTACTCATGATATCAGTTGAACCGGTCACCAAAACCAAAAGTATCAAATCAGCTGCAGAGCTGACCTGTGACACTAACGTTTATTCTTAAATGTTGACCAGGCTCTCCTGTTGTACTGATTCACTGCACACTGTATGCTTCTCACAGTGTGCACTAGATGCTTAAGCAAGTCACCTCATTTCCTGGTTATGGGATGTCCAGCATCACGTAGCTCTTTTGTTTCTAGCCTGACTGTCCCCAGTCTGTCCCATTCATTCAATGTATTTCATTTCTTTTAGTGAGAAGCTCGAAATTACATTTGGATGTTATCAAGGGCAGCCGTCTTGCAAATTCAATCTGTCTAGGAATATCCAATCCTTCAGACCAACATCCAGCCTTCAAGGCATTTTGATATGTGTCCTCTCAAAAGCCAGTCCATTGTTTGCATCAGGGCCAAGGGTATTTGAAAGTAGTATTGAGGCAAGGTTAAGTTACACTTTCAGGAATGTGCAGTACCCTGCTTGTGTCTCCCACTAGCCATGATCTGCCTGTATTGCACATAGAAGCTCAGAGACCCAGTGATGATGTTACCGAGTCTAAAAAAAGGGGTATGCAATGAAAACAAAGGTTTACAACAATATTTGCATATAGATGAGGAGAAACCAGGAAGTGCAAATTCTAAGCAGAATAAACTTCAGCTTTAAAAGCTTTGAGTGGCATTGAAAAATGCATTTCTTTGTACACTGTGGCCTCAATATAAAAAACTGAAGTGTATGCCACAGAAACTAGATTCCATGTATTACTGTATCTTTGTGGGAGAGGACTGAAAACCATATGACTGGTTGCTATGAGCAGAGACTATTTTTCTTCCACCATCTATATTAGCACAAGATATATAGTTAAAGGAGAAGTACAGCCAAAGTTCTGTGGATCACAGAAGTGCAGTTCATTCTGCACTCCTGTGACCCATTTTCAGCTGACAGCGCGCTAAAGTCTGAGCAGACAGCAGTGACTGACAGTCACCGCTCTCTGCTCACAGCGGAGGGAAGACTCAGCGATCCCATACTTCTCTTTTAATAATGCTCACCTTTATACAACATTCTTCATTAGTGGAGGATAGCAGCACATTTTCAAGCTTTAGATCTCGATGTATGACTCCGTTGTCATGAAGGTACTATGAAAAAACAAGACATGTTAAACTTCCTACTATGCAAACATGCTTCTATAGAAGTAAACTTTTATAACAAGAAGTTACACTGAACTCAAAACAAAATGTAAATGTTTATATTGTTAATATTATTATATGATATAATACTTCTAAAATAAATTATATTTTTCATTTATTATTTTGTTTTGATTTTTTTTTGTTTTATTCAATAAAAAATCAAAACAACAAAAAACACAATGGACTTTCTCCACTGGTGTGGTGCCCTTATTGATTTCTACATGTCCGAAAAGCATGAGATGGCATTCATTCTGCCACCCGTACTATCCAGATATGACAAAAAATGTTTGTGCACGGCACTCTGGTTGAAGCAGACTGTGGTATGACGAGAGAACATTACAGAACCTAAACAATCAAAGCATTTTGTCAATTATGATAAACCTATGCAGTCATAAGGTGGTGTGACTTGATTGATTTGCAAGGCTTTTATGACATGCTATTTGACCTATATGACAGCACCATTGCTGCTAACCTTTTTCACTTCAAATATAATTATTTTCTCCAGATTCATTTTAAAGTATATCTAAACCCTAGATGTAAAAGAAATATTACCATACCATTTTATTGATTGCACTGAATTACTATCCCCCTTGAAGCTTGCATTGGACATAAATCACACAGCAAAAATCTCCCAGCACTTCAATAAGAGGGTGACATTGTCTTTCCATGGTTAACATGCAGGAGCAGTGTTGTCACCCTTAGCAGTGTGCAATCCTTTCAGTATGTGTGTTTTTTATATTTCTTTGTATATATAGCCTGTAATTATAAAATGTGATAGGCACAACTATTATTTGTTCCTTTTATATACTGTGTACATGGTTGTTTTTGTAGCCCAGTCATTTTATTTTATTGATCCTCTTTCCTTACTCTAGCTCTAACCGTAGACAATAAATCAATGTCTGCAGAAGTGGGCAAATCCAAGCTTTTCATTTGTCTAATATGTATAAAGCATATTATTTGCTAGATTCTATTAAACCATCATCATGGTCACTTTATCAAACACCATTGCTTTTCATTATAAACCCAGGGATGTTGAATTTGTATTGCCCGACACCTGGGACACAGTTCTGGGCGTTGGGCAGGTCGTTTTTTTTCCAACCTTTAGCCCTGCAAGCAGCAGGGCTCACCTATCAGGTTGAAGCATTCGGGCAGCAGCGCTGCCACCAATTGTTTTCACACACAGTGCTTGCCTCTCCCCTCCTCGTGTGAACCTCCCCCCCCATGTGAGGTCTCCTGGGCTCCGCTTGCCCATCTGAGGGCATGGGATCGGTTCACCGCCATTGGACAGAGGAGAGGGAGGAAAGCGGACACAGCTGCTCCCCTCCCCTTCTTGTCCTGACTTGAAGTTACGTTATGATGTCACTTCCGGGTCCCCGTTGAGAGATTCCCGGCTATGGAGGCCGGGAAAGAATGTAATGCAGTGCGATGTGAACTGCATTAAATCCAGTGGAGTACAGGAGACATCCAGGATCTTTTAGACCTTGAATGTCTCAATAAAGAGAATCTGTCACCAAAAATCACTACATAGGGGACTTGTCCCCTATGTATTGAAAAAAAAAAAATTAAAGTAAAAAATGTTTTTTTTTTTAATTGTAAAAAATTTAAGTTACACCCAACCACATAGCCTCACCCCCCCCCCCCCCCCAAATTGAGGCCCCCCCACCCTCACATATATACGCACATACAAACGTGAAAGCACATGCTGGGACGCCTACACATGAAAACTTCAATTGCGATACACATGCCAGAATGAGAGCAATAACACTGTTCAACAAATTTTTATTTTTTGCCAGTTTTGGAAACAAAAGGATCCATTTCTTAATGAATTTCACATTCTGAGTTCAAATATAACAATGAAATTTGTCAATTGGCTCTAGTTTTTCTGTAAACGAAAGTTCTCTACTATAGGCGTAATGACTACATAATGCACAATAATTATATAGATAGATGTCTTTCCACAAATATAAAGCAAGTGATATTGACTACATAACAAAGCCTAAATGGCATAATATATTGCATAGGATTACCAAGAAAAATTATAGCCATAAGCGAAGTTGAATCATTTTAATACTTAGGATTCTCACTAGTTTTGTCTTCAGTTTGTGTCGGTTTTGCTTCTCTTGGCTTTTCTCTTGTATTCGAGGAAAGGGCTATCTCTTACAACTGCACGTGACTACACGCTTCAGGTTCTTCCTCACTTGACTCAACCACAAAGGATTCTGGTGCTTTAGGAATTGGTAGCCCCTCTCCATGAGGAACTGGACGTATTGCCGATGGAATATTTGGATAGTGCACAGATAAATTTTTCTTCTTATTTAGCCCTTTTACAATTGGAGGCACCATACAAAAGTAACAATTACTAACATGATCTGTTGGCTCTCTCAAATCATTGGCACAGCGAAAGGCATAGATGCCTTTTTTCATTCAACCATTGCTCCAGTGCCGTCCCACAAGAATTGCAGCATATATGTGGTGCCCAGCTCTTGTCCTGGTCTCCTATCTTGCAGCCAAAATACAAGTTGTAGGCTTTCTTAATCATTCCTGTTATCCTCCTTTTTTGTGAGATAAAAGTTATTTCACCGCAGATATAGCAAAATTATCTGCTTTATTCACACAAGTTCGAGGCATTACTGAGTAGCCTATATAAGCATAAAACGAAATGTAAAGACGCTGTCGAACTACAATCAGCTACAGATACTGCAGCTTTTATGCAGTGAAGTGATGCAATTAAAGGCTAATATTGCATCATCTCAGTATACATGCAATTTTCTATTGGTCACCAGTATCAATTGCGCAATATGCAGCTGAAGTTGCATCATAATTTTGAATGGCTTACGTCAGATGGGTGAATATATCATGGAAACTAGAGCCAATCAACATTTTTTAGGGTCATTTTCGTTTTCAGCACCCCAAAATTATGTAAGATTAGCTAATTTTTATGCCCAAAACTTTTTACCTGTTGAACAGTGTAATTCTAGCACCAGACCTCCGTAAAACTATACTGATGACCTATAAGGGGCTTTAAATGTGTCGCCTATAGAAAATATAGGGCACTGAAGTTCGTCGCCATTTCACAAGCGCGCACACATTTAAAGTTTGAGATGTTAGATATCTATATACTAGGTGCAACCTCATCTTTTATATTTTACAAAAAAATAGGGTAATTCAGAGCTTTTTTTGTGCCTTAAAAATTAACTTACTTGTATATTTTACTGAAATTTTGGGGTAATATCATGCGATATTGTGTAGAAACATGTGTAGAAAACTCAAAAACGGCTTTTGCAGCGAAAGGGATAAAGGATAAGCCTGACACCCCCTTCCCTGATGAACACCCAATCATTACACTGCAAGATCTCTCCCCTCCCTGCTAGTCCCCGGCTGCAGTGCTGGAGACAGGTAGGGAGGGGAGAAGGAGATAAACAGCACAATGTTAAAAATATTACATGTTTAAGTTGCCATAAAGCTGCTTTTGTTTTTAAAAGCCCCCAGACATTCCTAAAATTACCTGATTTAGATAAGGTTTTGGTTAAAAAAAAAAAATTTTATCTGGAAATGTAGATTGTCACGAGGGACAAGTAGATTGGGACACCGATTTAGTCCCCTGGACAAGTATTTTTTTTTCAAAAATTTCCACACCCCTAGTAACCATTACATTTGCTAAAATAAATAAATAAATAGGCTTTTTTTTTTTTAAATCTGATCCCAGCATTATTTCAAAGTTACAATATATTTGTCTTACATCTGGACCACTTTTCAGATAGAAAGTAATTGTGTTCAGTGCAGGCAAATTTTCTGTTAAAAATTGTTTAGTGCAGCATTTAACATTTAAACAATTATACAGTTCTCCTGGGTACTTGGTGAGATGAAAACAAATGGATGCATATATAGCCAGCATGAGAACGATCATCGGTACAAAAGTTCTTTATGAGAGTGACAGCTCCAGAAAAATCAATCCAAAGAGCTTCTTTCACCATTTTTTTCAAACCATTCAGGAAGAAGGCTTATTGCATTTACCAATATAAAAAGTCACTACAGAAAATAATCTTTTAATCTGTATATGCGTAACTCTCATAAACAATGGCACAACAAGCAAATAAAATGTAAGCGTTGTATTGAAAATTCCCACTGCAACATCTCCATGTTAAAATTGGCTGTATGAAAGAAAAAAAAAAGCTGCATAGTAATTCTATTTCAAGCTTTGGAGATTTCACTATAAATGAATGATTAAGATGGCAGAACAGGAACGTACTTCTGTGTGGCTTTTAAGTGGTATGAAATGTCAAATGTGATTTATGGCTATGTACATAATGCAGAAAAGTAATGTCATCGAGTAGTAAAACATTTGTTGTGCTGTGCTCAAGATTCAGGGATGTGCAAATCATATCGCCCTACGCCTGGGACATGCAGTTCCGGGTGTTGGACAGATGGGGTTTTTTTTTTTTTTGTTTTTTTACACATTTAGCCCCGTTGTGGGTTTCAATGTCAGTTTTCAGTAATATTGTCAAAAAGTAGTTGTTCAGGTGCAATTTTTAATTTGCCTTCATATGCTAGAAATGCCATCCATCCTCTTCTCTATATACAGTGAGGAACAGAAGTATTTGAACACCCTGCGATTTTGCAATTTCTCCCACTTAGAAATCATGGAGGGGTCTGAAATTCACATTGTAGGTGCATTCCCACTCAGAGAACAGAATTTAAAAAAAAATTCAGGAAATCACATTGTATGATTTTTAAAGAATTTATTTGTCTTGCACTGCTGAACATAAGTATTTGAACACCTGAGAAAATCCGTGTTAATATTTGGTACAGAAGCCTTTGTTTGGAATTACAGAGGTCAAACGTTTCCTGTAGTTCTTGACCAGGTTTGCACACACTGCAACAGGGATTTTGGCCCACTCCTCCACACAGATCTCCTCTAGATCTGTCAGGTTTCGGGGCTGTCGCTGAGC